GGTTTTATTAGCCATTGGGTTCCTAATCATACCATATTAAAAAACTTTTGAAAAATAGTTATGAAGTCAAACAATTTAATTATTCTCATCAGAGTGTTGGTGAAAATAACGCAACCTCAGACCGAATAGCTTGTTTAAATTCTTGGACGCCGAACCGAAACCCTACCATGTCTAGCTGAACCCAGTCAATAAATTAAGGAAGAAAGATAGTTAGATAGACCTGTGTAGAGCACATCACTAAATTAATCCTTTAAATCCTTATAAATAAAATCCAAGGTGTTAGTTTAATTTGTGTCCTTGAACAAAGGGGGGCTCTAATGCTTCATTCATATTTTTATTCGGAGGAATTTTCATCACATTTTTACTGTTTCTCATCTTATACGGAAATGTACTTTCCTTTTGTTTCTAGATCACCCTGATTATAGATATGGAACCAGATTGTTATGGCAAGGCAGGTGCTATTACCTATTGGACTGAAAGGGAAGATGATTCAGGTATTCACTTTCAAGTGAACAGCGCCTCTTCATTTCTCGGTCTGCCACATTCGGGATCCAACCAACGACCATTAAGCTACTCTGCAACAACCGAAGAAGTTCCGAAAAAAATCAAATGGAAAATGATTGCTGGCGGTCGATTTCAAGTAAGTTGTTTTATTAGCTGTAATAAGAATGACGCTTTCTGCAAGCTTCATGTACAGCCAGGTTGATCAACTTTTTATATGCTGGGATTTTATAGCATTTTCTCTAGAAATATAAGAAAATATGCACCTGTTTTGAATCCATAAAATTATATTTTAATCTAGATATCAATGAAATTAGTCATATTTTAATAGTAAAAAGTGCAAATTGACAAAAATCTCACTTAAGGAAAAACAATGTGTAAAAATCGCAATCCTCCTGTGATATGCAAAATAAAGGGCTTGCTTAATACTAAATTATTTTAAGCGTTTATATTTAAAACTATACTCAGATCTTTGAAAATCCTTTTTTATTCAACTTATAATTCATTTGTTCTTGCTAGCGCCAACTGTCTGTTAGAATTATTTTCGATAGAACGTCTGCTTCCGTAAAAACATATTTGTGGATTTGTTTATATTCTATGAAATATTCCACCTGAGGCAGCAGATGATGATAGATTAACACAGCATTTGGAGGATGCAGCCTGGTGTAGACGTTATCTTATTTGTGATCCTTCAGTGAACTTATTTTATTTCTCATAATTGTGACCAAGCGGGTAGGGATAAGTCAAGCGTACTCATTTTAGCATGCATTATTCTGGCTCATCATCAACCTAATTATAGTGGAAATGAGCTTTAGCTTGCAATAGCTTTCTACTCTCGCTCCTCAGTTGCTCTATCCTCTTAGAGACACTCAATTGGAGATTTTTTCCTTA